GTTCAAGCCTCAGTCCCACAGACTGCCACTCTGGCTCCCTAAGCAAAAACCCTTAACCCCACACTGCTCCCCGGGTACCGCAAAATGGCAGCCCACTGCTCCCCAAGGGGATGGGTTAAAAGCAGGGAGTTCATTTCCTTGCTGTACTTGTTAAAGTGTAATGAAAATAAAGCACTGTGGGAAAAAATGACCCTGGAAGAAAAAAGAGCTGTCTGGGTCTGGTCTGAGCCATCACACGCTTCCTTCCTTCCTTCATCACTGTTACCTTACTGACCTGTAGCTCTCCTCTCCTGGAGATTGTTAGTCTGATATTAGGACTGATGAGCATATCGGAACCAGAAACTCTTTACGAACACATTTCCCTCCATGTATGCCAGAAACCTGTCTGTCTGAGGACCTTAGGTCAGAAGGCTGTTCTGTGGCGCCTCTCTGTCTGTTTCGCCTTCTTGTTTTCGCCAATGGGCAGTGTTTTTCTTTTTTTGTCTCTCTAATTTATAATCTCAGAAAGATTGTGCAGGTGTGCTGCTCCACAGCTCAGTGGAACCAGGCTATCCATGCAGCGTTGCAGCCTGGTTCTGCTGTAGAAACATTGCTCATGTAGATTCATGATCATGTCATGCAAAATCCTTATTGAGAATTGTTTGCACTGATAACGAGTTTCTGTCATCCTGCCGCCTCTCTGTCTGTTTTGCCTTCTTGTTTTCGTTGGATGGATTGATTTTATTTTGAAATTCACCAGGACTATTTCCCGTTTGATCTGTGAAACAGGAGCTCAGTGTGCTGACCGCTCTGGCATCAGAACAAACTTCCCTCCAGGAGAAAGACTTTGTTGATCCGTACTGCTGATGTGAGTGTAATCAGTGATTTGGGTTCCCTGCAGCACCTCTGCTGCATGTCAGCATCGCTGGGTCAGTCTGATAGTTTGGTCGTTTAGGGGAGAAATTGTCCTTGATTCCCAAGATGAAAATGAGAAAACAACAGATTAAAAACAAGCAAGTCAAATAAGCATGGAGGCAAAAAGAAAGATGTGGATGCAGAAGAGAAGATGCTTCCTGGTTCGAGAGAAGAGGGGACACAGAACCTGAGGTCACTCTGTCAGACCTCTTTCGAGAACCATGTCTAACTCCGGTCCTGGAGGGTCACTTTCCTGATGCCATCCAGAAAGAACTTTCAACCCTGTGGGATGTTAATCAATGCCAGGGTCCTGACTTAAACCTCATCAGTAATCTGAAAATGGCTACAGAGATGTTCTCCATCCACTCTGATGGAGCTTCAGCTGTTCTACAGATGATCTGGTCCAAATAGTGGGCGGAGCCTCAGCTGGAGGCATCGGATCCAAACAGGCCTGAGGTTGGAGGATCGGCAAAGGCTGTGAAAACGTAGATGTGGTTTCTTTGTTTACTATTATTTTTATTTTAATAACAGTCAAACAAGTGTGTAGAAGATGAGACGGTTAGTGCAGCACTGTGACTGTCATCACATGCTGCCCGAATCGCCTTCATCATCCTCCTCATCCTTTTACTGCCCAGCCCTTCTGTCCAACTTTATTTCCTCCCACTTTATTTGCTCCCCTGACAGATCGATGGTCAAAGCTTAAATTTTCCAGCATTGCTCAGATCCACGCCTCGCTCTGAGGCAGAAGGCGTGGCTGAGGTCAGAGGGAGGTCAGGCCTTAATCACAGTCAGCTGATCTTTGATGCATAATCCCAACTTTTTACACCTTAATCTGGCGGCAGCACCTGGTGCTCGGATCAAACCTTCAGAGATCATAGAATCTGTTGAACAAACCTGGATTTCTCAGAGGATTGTGAAGGATGTAGGGAAATGTATGCAAACTTCTGAGCTCCAGTGTTTTTTTAAAACCATGAGCAGCTAATAGTCCTGAAGTTCACATTCGATGGGATCTCTGTAGCTTTTCATTATTTTCCTGCAGGGCTGCAGTTATTTTATTGTTGAATATAAATACTTTAAAAACCTTTAAGCATATTTGCTGTTTCTGATTTTGGAAAATAAAATCCACCTTCTTTTCCATTAGATTAGATTCAGATTTGCTTGTTTCAATCACATGGGAAAATATGCCCTTTTTTCCCTCAAATGTTAACATTTAGGTTAGTTTTGTTTTTTTCACACCCCTGATATAAAAGCAGCTGCTTTATGACAAGCTGACAAGTAAGTGAGGATTATTCCTATGGTGCCGTTGGGTCAGAGACACCCAGCTGAGTCATGTCTGCACCAGGAGACGTGCTTAAGGTAAAATGTTGCTGCAGTGGATGTTTTAGAGAGAAACGGAGGCTAAACTGAGATTAGCAGCAACTTTTTCAGAACAGGAGGAGCAAAATACAGCGTCTGTTAGGTTAGATCAGCCAGTCAAACTATAAGTTATCAGACACTATTCCAATATTTGAAATCACTAATTACAAATATTAGGTCAGAACATTTTTTTTCTATTTTAATTTATTTAAAAAAACTAGTGTGATTTTTCAAATCTGAATCAATTATTTGAATTAACAAAGATCGATTAATTAACCCTTTATAGGCCACTCAGTTAAATACTTTGACAATCAAAATTTTAAGCCAATAGCGTTATTGGAATCCAGGACAAGACCCTATTACCCTTGTAACATTCCAAAAAATATGAATATTTTGATGGCAAAAATTAATATCAATGTAATAACAAACGCCAACTTTCCTGAATATATTAAAAAAAATAACAAAAGTGCTTTTATAAGAAATTCATGAAAAACACTCTGAGAGGGACAGACACACGTTCTTTTTGGTCCAACATAACCTTAGAGGCATTAATGCTGATACCGGCACTTACATTTTTTAATTTATGGACCTAAATATAATAGTTAACTAAGCTTATTAACTTTTTAACTTAACTTTTTAATTTTTTTAACTTTTTTTTTGACTTGTTAACTTTTTTTCAACTTAATTTACAGTAGTTAATATATCATTCAATGGCTCATTTAATTGTTCAAATGCCAAAATAAGATGTTGAGCCATGTAGCAGCATCTTTGCTGAATGGTTGGATATAGATCTTGTGCTTCTAGACTTCACTGTGGGACCCTATAAAGGGTTAAACCAAAGATGAATTCTATAGAAATGCATTTTCCTCTTTTCTTACAGCCTCCATAACCAACCGTTACTTTATTGTCTTTATGTTGATATTAAATTATTATTAAGATGCTGCAGACTTACACGGTGAGATGATTTAGGTTACAGCTAAGCAGGTTTTTGATACTAGGAATCCAGTTGGAGATCAGAACAGGTGAATTCGGATCCAATCGATTCTTGACATTTTAATGGATTACCAAACCCCAATTAAAGTTTGTAAAAGAAAAGGGCCAGAGGATCATTGGTGTGATCTGGGTTCCCTTCAGGGTCACCCTCTCCTTCCAGGTTCCTTATTTGCTCTAAAGAAAGACGATAAAGGATGAATCGTTCAGTTTCTATTTTGGGAGGAACCAAATTTGTTCTGCTGTCAGACCGTGAACCAGGGGTCACATGTGCTGGTGAAGATTCCCAGTCATCCAGGTCATAGTTGTTCCAGAAAAGTAAAAAGATGTCAGTCGACTGGACTTGGTTTCCAAGTTTGATGATGTTTCGCTTCCTATCCAGGAAGCTTCTTTAATTCAAAGTGTCAGAATAAGTAGGGATGCACAATATTGGGATTTTGGCCGATATCCGATATGCCGATATTTTAAAACTCATGTAGCCGATAACCGATATCGATACCGATGTTAAAGCTGGACAAAAATAAGTAGTCATTGAAAATAGCAGTTTTGTTATCCATTTCTGACACTTTGAAAAATAATATACTCAAATATATTTTCATATGCTAATATCAAATAGATTTTTAAAAACGCGGTATCGATCTATTTTACTTTCAAAATCTTGTGAAATTTCATCGTTCTGTTACAAACTCTCGTGATATTTTGCAAATTCTTGTGAGATTTTGTTAGTAAAATAGATCGATACCGCGTCAATATATCAACATATAAAAATATGGCAAAATTTCGTGAATTTTCGGGGGATTTCGTAGCATAACGATGACATATAGCAATATTTCATTAGTAAAAGAGATTGATATGGTGTTTTTAAATGGCAATATATCAGCATATGAAGATATTGGGATATTTTAATGTATCGATATTTTTTCCCTCGTCTTTAGAAGCTTTAAGTCTGTAAAAAAGAAGTTTTTGAGGAAGAAGAAAAAGTAGTATTTTTTTATTTTATTTTAGACTTTAGAAACTCAGAAGCTGATCAAATATCGGGTTAAATATCAGTGGGGTGGCCGATGTCCGATATTCAGTTTTAAGGCCGATACAGGGCGATACCGATAGGGGGCCGATTATATCATGCTTCCCTAAGAATAAGCATTGAGTTCCAACACTAAGGCTTGTTTCAGCTTAGAAAACATGCAAATAGAACCAGAAGGGGCCACATGGTATCATTCCGAGGGCCACAAATGTGCCTCACAGAGACACCCCTGTAATAACATGGACTGTGGGTTTTATATTATTTTCTAAAGCGGGTGTTTTAAACGATCAGTTCTGAACCAAATTATTAGAGCTCCTTGCTTGATTTAAAGAAATTATTAGTAGTGAATCATTCAAAGGCAATAATTAGCATAGATTGGTGAAGCTTTAATGTTTGCTGCTTTTCTCCGTGTTGATCTAAGATCATCCAGAGTTTTCTCCTTGAGTTCAGCCTCAGGATGCAGGATCCAGCTGCTCCTTGATTCCAGTCCGAGGTCCGGAGCCGTCCTCGCTCCCTATGCTTTATCGCGCTGCCATGGCGACAGTGCTGCGTGATGGAGGTTGACCTGCCAAGTCTATGCTCCTTTTAATTAGAGATAAAAACGTCCGCCGTCCTCATGATTTAGATTTCTGAATTAAAACAGTAGTTACTCTGAGCCTTCAAGAGCTGATGGGGAAACTGTGCTCCTCATCCTGTCCACGATCAGAGGAGGGTTCGGCGCTGTAATCTGGGTGGGCGTGTCTAACTGTGGGTCTGGGTCATCCTTAATGATTTCAGGTTCAGTGTTCTGCCTTTTCTCTAAGGATTGTTAAAATGTTTAATGGACGGACGGGTTTTCTCTCCCAGCCTTAGCTCTGCATGGCGACATCAGCCTGACGGCAGCGGGTGTGAGCAGCCAATCAGCCGAGGCCCCTGGTAGCAGCATGGCATCCCGTCAGAGGAACTCGGTCCGGATCCTGTCCAGCCGGGAGCGGGGATCGCAGACGTTTGGCTCGCAGCGGCTCCTGCAGCTGCTGGTGGAGGAGAAGGTCCGCTGGATGAAATGGCAGAGTCAGGTGGGTCACGGGTCGCCTCCGCTTTGAAGGGGTTCTGAAATGAAAGCAGAGTTATCGATAACGACCGATTAGGCTCTGTGGGAGCGGCTTCAGTGTTCTGTGCCTTCATCATGTGTTGATCTCTGTCTGTTACAGAAGGTGGAGCTTCCTGACAGCCCGCGATCAACGTTCCTGCTGGCCTTCAGCCCTGACAGGTAACACACGCTTTCTAAACATAAACTGGTTTCTGCCTCCAGCCGCTTTGTAGTCCATGACTGCTGCTGGGTTTCCTCCACGCATCATGACTGCTGCTGGGTTTCATCCATGCATCATGACTGCTGCTGGGTTTCATCCACGCATCATGACTGCTGCTGGGTTTCATCCACGCATCCTTTAGCGGTGTAAATCACACCTGTTATGGCGATTAGATTCAGTATTGATTTACTGACCCAATGATTCGATTATTTTCGATACTCAAGAATACACCACAATACGATTTGATTCTATTAATTGGTTCATTTTTTTTTTTTACCTTACAGGCTAGACAATGTTTCAAATGTATAAAATAAATCAATGAAAGCTGTAATATTGTTATGCATTTTATTTGAGAAACAACAGCAAATAAAAAAAGTCAAAAAGTTGTACTACACCTAGGCCTATGAAAACCTCATTCACTGAAAAATATTAAAACCCCTGCCTTATAGATTCTGAAAGGCCTTGCATCAAAAAATACTGCACAGAATCAGTGCAATGAGTGCAATTCAATACCTCGGCTCCAGAGTGTCGAGCAGGTATCGGAAGCCTTTGTTCTCCACAATGCAATAGGGACGTATGTCTGTACATATGAAGAACGCCTCCACAGACATTCCGCTGCCCCTCTCCCAAAATGTAACTGACCGCAGACAGGAGGCCGGGTTGCTTTGTTTTTATAACCAAAATTGCAGAAAACAACTCATGAAGTTGGACCAGCTAGAAAGACAAGGTGCGCGAGAATGATTTTAAATGATCCGCGGAAACCCTGGATCATTTCCGTATGTTTTGCTGCTTTGAATTTAATCATCTGGCGCATGCTCTCTACCATCTCCAAGGAACTCAGAGCGGAGCGGACAAAGCCACAGCGGGGGCTGTAGGCTTTGCTTTGAGCAGGCGGTCTGGAGCGCAGCGGGGCGGGGCGGAGCGCTGACG